CCCCGCCGCCGGGGTCTCCCCCCCGGCACCAGGAGGGGGGTCTCACACGAAAAAACCAAAAAAAACCCCCTATCCCCCCAAGCGCCAAAAGGGAAAAAGGAACACACCAAGAAAGGGGGGGGGCGCCCCCCCGCCCCGGGAGCACCCGGAGAGTTTCCCCGGAAAAGTCAACGGAGGGGCCGGCCCCGGAGGGTCGCGCCCCCCCCCCCCGGGCGCCCGGGCTGGTCCGACTGGGGTTCGGCGGCGGGCGCTGGCGGTTACCCGGGTGGAAGGAGAGGCCCGCGGGTCTTGCTGCTGGGAAATCCGGCGAGCGAGGCGGCGGAGTCTACGCCGGGCCGTTGTCACCCCCTTGACATGTGGGAACTTGCAGGGTGGGTCGGGGGACGAGAGCCAGACTCCACCGGACCCGGGGACCATGGGGGAGGCGGGCGGCTGTCAGCGGGCTTTGTCCCTTCAGCCCCTTCTCGCCAAACACGCCCTCCACTGCCCGGAGCGCGTTCGTGTCCCCGGTCTCCTCCAGATCAGCTTCGTGTCCCGGTCTCAAACCAAAGGTACCATCCGCCCAGCCCGGGAGGGAAGCGTCGGGGTGCGGAGGGGAGCCTGTCTGCGTGCGAAGCTTCCAGATCAGTGGTTCTCAACCTTCCTAATACAGTTCCTCATGTTGTGGTGACCCCCAATGTCATTGTTACAAATTGAACATAGTTAAAGCATAGTGATTAATCACAAAAACAATATGTAATTATATATGTGTTTTCCGATGGCCTTAGGCGACCCCTGTGAAAGGGTCGTTGGATCCCCGAAGGGGTCGCGACCCACAGGTTGAGAACCGCTGTTCCAGATGGTTTTGTGCCGCAATGCGCACTGCTACCTGCCCCGCTCGCCGTCCCCTGCAAGTTCAAAGCAGCGCCTTCAGCTCTGCCATGCAAAGCCCAGCCTTAGTAGCAGCGGAAGGCTGTGGCCCGCGCTGGTTTGGTTAACTTGGCAGTTTGTTCTCGCATTTGATGCAAGTTATTTATGGATCCGACATTGTCAGAAATGCCCACACAGCCGCCACCTACATTCATAGCTTCACTCCTGGCACAAGCCCTATCTGCAGAACCTACACGACTAATTATCCGCTGAAAGCATACGCGTAGGTTCCTGAAGAGCCTCCTCCTGCAGGGTAGGCTAGATCAACTGGATGCACACCAAGATGTGAGTATTTGGGATACTACTGATAAAGGATGTCCAGTAGGATTTAGAAACTACATTCATTCAACAAGTCTTCATTGAGTGCCCAATATGCTATCACTCTGCTTAGTCTGATTAAATGTTTAAGTGTTTTAATATTAAACAACAGAGAAGCCATGCAAAATATTCAGTCACTTAACAAATATTTGAGAACCTGCTTTGTGCCAGACTAGACCCTGGAGATGCAAAGTCTAAATAGGAAGGTGGGCCTGGCCAGCCTCGTTCAGTGGTTGAGCCTCGACCTATGAACCAGGAGGTCAGGGTTTGATTCCCGGTCTGGGCACATGCCAGGGTTGCGGGCTCCATCCTCAGTGTGGGGCGTGCAGGAGACAGCCAATCAATGATTTTCTCACATCATTGATGTTTCTGTCTCTCCTTCTCTCTTCCTCTCTGAAATCAATAAAAATATATTTAAAAATAAACCAAGAATACCTATGGTAAGAGTGTGTTTCATCCTGTAGAAGAGCCATTTAAGATTTTTAAGAATATCTTGATAAGATTTTAGAAATTCTGAAGCATGGTGGATTTCTGACTGGAAGCTGGGATACTAGTTAGGAGACTGTTAAAATAGTCCAGACAGGGGATGAGAGAGCCTAAACTCATTTAGTGAAGATTGTGAAGGATGGATCTGAAACTAGTTCGATATAATACACAAGAGGATGAGGGAAAATAGAGTGATTACATTGTAAGATCAGTAAAGCTAACTGTGAAGATTAAAGAGAAAGATAGGACTACAAAGGTGTCTTTTTTTTATATTTTATTGATTTTTTACAGAGAAGAAGGGAGAGGGATAGAGAGCTAGAAACATCGATAGAGAGGTCGATCAGCTGCCTCCTGCACGGCCCCCACTGGGGATGTGCCTGCAACCAAGGTACATGCCCTCGACCGGAATCGAACCTGGGACCCTTTAGTCCGCAGGCCAACGCTCTATCCACTGAGCCAAACCGGTTCGGCTAAAGGTGTCTTTTAATAACTACAGTTAGAAATGCATTTGGCTGCAAGTAAAAAATACTCCATTGCAATGGCTTAAACCAGGGGTCCTCAAACTTTTTAAACAGGGGGCCCATTCACTGTCCCTCAGACCGTTGGAGGGCCGGACTATAGTTTAAAAATAACTATGAACAAATTCCTATGCACATTGCACATATCTTATTTTGAAGTAAAAAAACAAAACGGGAACAAATACAATATTTGTATTTGCATGTGGCTCGCGGGCCGTAGTTTGAGGACCCCTGGCTTAAACAAATAAAGGTCTATTTGGTCATGTAACCAGTCTGCAGGTAGGCAGTTACTCTTTTTTTTTTTTTTTATATATTTCTTTATTGATTTCAGAGAGGAAGGGAGAAGGAGAGAGAGATAGAAACATCAATGGTGAGAGAGAATCACCAATTGGCTGCCTCCTGCATGCCCCCCACTGGGGACCGAGCCCACAACCCAGGCATGTGCCCTTGGCCGGAATCGAACCCGGGACCCTTCAGTCCGCAGGCTGACACTCTATCCACTGAGCCAAGCCGGCCAGGGCCAGTTACTCTTTTTGATTCAACAGCTTAAGAACAACAGAGCCATAATCTCTGTGATTCTCTTGACATTTCCCTCATGGTTGCAAGATGGTTGTAGCAGTTTTAGCTTTCACACTGGAAGATGGAGAAAGGAATGGCTTCAGCCACCTATATTTTTTTTCAGGAAGATAAAAAATATTTTTAATATTAATTTTAACTAGTTTTAGATAATCTTATGCAAATTGCTCTAGGGAACAGAAAAAGATGGCAAGCTATGTAATTGATTATATGAGGCCAACTGATTATATGAACCCTGTGCCGCACCAGCACGGCCAAGGGTGAACCTGAGTGGGGGCGGCTGAAAGGCTTAGAAAAGACAGACAAGAGAATGAAAGCCGGGTCTCGGTGGGACGCTGCTTCTCTGAGACAGCGACCAACGCTTGTGTCTTTATTTTATAGCAGATGCCAGGAGGCAAAGTAAGGGTGCGATCAACATGTTTACAACATTCCCGTGGGTTTCAATCCTTCTCACCTACACGCACCTGAACTCTATCAAGCCGACATCACTCAGGCACGTGGGCCACGTGTTCGGACCATAGGTTCAAGCTTATGTCTACAGCTGTTGGCTATAGTTGTGCTAGGAGGGCTCTGCCCTCCAAGCTGGGACTTACACGTGACCAGGAGAGGCCTGTGCCCTCTCATTAGTCCAAGGCTTGAACCTGTCCAAACACTGTAGCCGCTCTCCACAGAACCCAAGAAAAGACCACATGGATACTGAAAATTATAAAGCAATTCCATTTATAGTCTCAGATTCCAAAATCCTAAATGAAATACCAGCAAATGGAACCCTGCAATGTATATTAAAGCATATCAAGCCTGAGTTGGGTGTGTCCCAAAAATATAAGGATTGTCTAATGAGAAAAATCTGTCAAGGAATCTGCTTTATTATAAGGTGAAGATGAAAAAAAACATAATTGTTGAGTTTTAGCAAATGGTTTTCCTGCACCTACATGACCTGGCGCAAGAGCCTCCTTGCCCCTGCTGGCATGCCTCAGTGGTTGAACATGAGCCCAAGAGGTCATGGTTCGATTCCCGTTCAGGGCCCATGCCCGTGTTGCTGGCTCGGCCCCCAGTAGGGGGCGTGCGGGAGGCAGCTGATCAACGATTCTCATTATTGATGTTTCTATCTTTCCCTCTCCCTTTACGACAGTGATTCTCAACCTTGGCTGCACATTAGAATCACCTGGGAATCTTTGTAAAATCCTGATTTCTGGGCCTCATCCTCCGGAAATTCTGTTTCTTTGTTACTAATGTTGTGGCCCCACCCCATAACAAAGAAACAGAATTTCTGGAGGATGAAGCCCAGAAATCAGGATTTTACAAAGATTCCCAGGTGATTCTAATGTGCAGCCAAGGTTGAGAACCACTGCTCTACGAAATCAATAAAAAAT